TCTTTTTTAACAGGCAGCTCTAATTATGCAGTGTCTCATTTTAATGATAGGTTGTCATTTTGGCTAAAAGTTACAGTATTTTGGGTTGTAAATGATTAATATTAATGTTAATGATGATTAATATTAATGTTAATGATTGATTCTCAATTATTGTGTGATTATTTGAGTGTTTTAAATAATTTTATTTTTATTTTTTACAAGTAATTTCAATATATCTGTTTTTTCACAACTTGATTTGTGTTACAAAAACGAAAATTTTAGTTTGAAATTTCGAATTTTGAAGACAAGCTGTAAAGCTGTTTAATTCATTTTATATGAGAAAGGCTTTTTTTCTTTTTTTTTCCTTTCAAGAATTATCTATTCCTTCCTTGGGAATCTTTCGCTTTACTACATTACAGTAAATAATCAAAAGTATTGTTTTTTTTTTTTCGTCTTTGAGAGGAAAATAAATGTATTATAAATCTTTTTTCGATGTTAATCAAAATTTCCTTTAGTTATGAAAATGAATTTTACAGCTTTTTCATTTCAATTTTGTTATAAAATTTCATTGATCACAACCACATATGTAATTATTGAAATTTCATTTGTTTGGTGACATTTGTCAAAATTCATTCAATATAGCACAGTTATAAAAGATAGTATTGATATCATTCCAAATCCTTTTCTATCTTTCAATTACTTATTATGTTTTGAATTTATGCTTAAATTTAATTTATATTCAATTTTCAAATATAGTCATGCGAAAATGATTAATGGAAGTTTTTTAAATTTCTGAGAGGTTTACTTTTGCAACTTATTATGACGAAATTCGTTTGGTAAGTAATTTTGTCCAAAAAAGTTTTAACTATTGTGAAACGGATTGATATATAGGATGAAGTGTGAATGAAAATTCATAAAAATTCATCAATTTTCGATGGGTTGATCATTTGATTGATTTTTTATTAATATCGGAATCAATGAAACGTATTGCGCGTTGCTTGTTAATGTAATGCCAAATACGCATCGCAATATTCATTAACCCACCAATTAATGTTGATATAATTAAGAGCGTTACGACTAAAACAATTAATCTTAAATTTATTAATAAATGAGGATAAATGATTAAGAAATTTTTACTATTTTTACTTTTCATCATGGATGTATATTATTATAGAAGAAATCTTCCTAACAGAAATGATACTGTGATTTGTTTAACGTTCTATTACTAACGTATCATACACGAGGACAGAGAATGAGGATATAAAGTAAAGTTTTATCAAACTTTACCTTGTGACATACTATTTTGTAATTGAAACATACCAATCAGAATTTAAAAAATTGAATGATATCATGATAAGAATTGAACAGATGTTATGATAAGAATAAAATGATGGGAATTTTTTTAAAATGACAGGAATATTATTTTGTTAAGTTATAAATGAATAATTCTATTAGTACTTACGTATGCGTGCTATATCAGGTGAACGTGGTGGTAAACCGACTATGAAAATTCGATCAAAAAATTCTCGTTCAATAATAAGTGTTATCATATACCACAAACATATTGATAAGCAAATAACCGATGATGCTTCAACAATATTCTAAAATTAGGAAGTATCCTTTCTTTTACTTCCATACGTATTGATAATAATTACTCGATTACATACTAATGTTAACTTATTAGCAATACGCAAAATCCTTTTCCTATTAGCCGTTTGAAATGCTTACATTTTAAAACAAATTAAAAGTAATGGATCCCCAAACAAATTTTACTACCTATTAAATAGCATTTCCCATATCTAATCCTTTTAAACACTTTAAATCCTTTTAAACACTTTGATATTTTCGATACAATTTTGAAATCTAAAATTTCTGAAAACAAAGAATAGTGAAGAAATTTAGTTAGCATCTTCAAATAAAATTAAATTCAGAATCCCATCTAACATCATTTAAAATTTTATACCTTTTATGCCAACAATTTCACTAATTACTTTATTAACTTTCAATTTTCATTTTATATTTCACGTTTTAATACTTTACTGTGCTACTAAACATGATTACAAATAATATATTGCCTTTGGGTAATTTTCGATCTTATAACATTCTCTTCGAAATGCTTACAAAAGTTAGCATATAATTAGACTTCTAACCAAACTTTCGACATAACGACTTTGTTAGCACAAACATTTTTCATTTAATTCCAATTCACTCTTTACAAAAATGATTATTGCTTAAAATCATGAGAGAAATTTTTTACTTGCCAATTTCATTTAATGAAATTTTGAAGCAAAAAAGTACTGCAATTTGAAATTTGGAACGTCATTGAGTATGGATGCATTGTAATTTCAAATATTTAAAAAAAGCTCACATCTGAATGCAATTTAAAATATTGCTATATTTTTGGAATTTTTTGAAATAACTGGAAGAAAAAATGAAAATGGCAAACTTTTTAAAAATTCATTTTTCTAATGAATGTTAAAAAGTTTCGAAGAACTTTTAGCTAAACTAACTTTGTTTGCATAAAAAAAGATGAATTCATGTGCTGTCAGTTAGAATAAAACCGGTTTTGGTTGAGTAATCTAATGGTTCATTCCAATGAATTCTGCCGTAATTAGAAAAGACTTGAAGAATTCAAGTCCTACAGGCATCTCAATTTTAAGCCTGATGGCATTATAGCCTATAAGTAGTAATGGAAAATTGATTGCATTCCTCCAAATCCAGTTATGTATTTCAATTATTTGAAGTGGAAATTGAACTTCAAATACTTGTATCTTTCTTTCACTCTTTGCCTTTTTTACTTCCAGATACTGAGCCAATTTTAATAATTGGTTTATTTTATTATTATTATTATTATTATTATTATTATTATTATTATTATTATTATTATTATTATTATTATTATTATTATTATTATTATTATTATTATTATTATTATTATTATTATTATTATTCTTATTATTATTATTATTATTATTATT